TTCAGAAGTTGCCCTGGCCGAGCCAATCTCCTGACATGAACCCCATCGTAAACCTCTGGGCCATACTCGACCGGCAAGTCAAGAAACAACAAAAAAAAAAACAGCATCGAAGAGTGATCTACTCCAAGTTTTGAAACAAGAGTGGGCGAAAATCCCAAAGTCTAAAATTGACGAGATGATTCTCACGATGCCCCAAAGGATCAACGAACTCCACGAAGCGAAAGGAAGATCTACTAGATATTAATTAAATTATAAATATATCAATTCATGTGAATGACTGAAAAATTTCATTTTTTCTGAAAAGGTGGTGTCTATTTACTTGTGACCACGCTGTGTACATACCCCACTAATTTCGCGTCACTATTGAACATGTACATAGCATGTGACTACTCTCCTCCAATAACACTGCGCCACCTATATTGGTGCAGTTAGCTCCCTTTGCTATTCCTGCTCAATTCTCACTTTCGAGAATTGGCAGGTTCTAAAAGAAGAACACCAGCAGTGGACAGGTAAGTACCTACTTCTGATATGGTCTTACCTACCATTACACAAAGCAAGAATCCTAGACTGCAAAGGTGGAGAATCCAGTGTAGGTGCTTAACGTTGAAACCAAGCAGAAAGAGACCGCCCACAATGAATGGGTGTGCTCCAAGATGAAACCAAAGCACACATATAGAATACTGCACTACATCTGCAATAGGCATGGTCTATTTTAAAGCAAGAAATAAATCTGATACGGGCAGAAACAAATTATGTGCACAAGTGCAATTTGTTCAGAGAGAGGTACAATCCATAATAAAATAAAAAATAATGAACTATGTAGATACCCAACCTCAAAAGGACAGACGAAGTTCCATAACTCGCCATTGGCATAAGGAGATTAAGGATGAAAAGGATAAAAACAGATATAGTATAACAAACAGTGGCTAGGGCATGTGGGTCGTGTTACATATACTCATCAACCCCAACCATAACTAAACAGTGTGTAATACGTCAAGCAACTGGAATTATGAAGAGGAAGTTAGCAGTCAGCTGAAACTGGACAAACTCCCGAAACCACCATAGGAGCAAGAAGTACAACAAACTGAACCCTCATTATGTGGTTGTGGCATTGCCTCAACTCAACCATAAGGACAGGCCAATATCTGTGACTGGTATTACAAGCAGAAATCACAACTCACCCAATCTAAATGCAGGGAAGAGATATCCTGCATCCAGAATTACGAGGAGGACATGGAATATTCGCCTAACTGTAGGAACAGTGTACGTGCACCCCATTGCTGGTAATATGAAACACACAAAGTCACCCAAACTGAAATGTAGGAACAGGGTGGTGTCATTCTCAACCCAGTATTATAAGGAGGATCCCATGTAGGCTGATCCTGTTCCAACCAACAGTCATCCACCTAAAAAACAGCATCCAGGGGAAATGGAAGGAGGGAAACCAGCTTTGCCCTTTTCTCACTAAGTGGAAATTATGAGAAGGTATGGTAAATCAAAATTCTACAACACACTCAGAATGAAGCCTCCATGGTCCATCACCCAAGTGACTATGAAATGGGAAGTGTTAAGGACTCCCTTGCTTCACTGGAAGAAAAACAGGGAAAAATAAATGTGGTGGGGAGTTTGGAGGAATGTCACACCAGAAAAAAGTGCAACGAGTGTCCATAATTGCCTATTTTAATAAACAATCAGGTAAATCAAAGAAACATAGAGGATGTATGACTCGAAAGGACCACAAAAGGAGGGAAATGACATGGAAAAACAAAACCCCATGAAACTAGAGGAAACAGAAGGTGTTCCACAAAGTCACCAAACAGCTAAACATGGTCGAAGTGTACAAGCCTTTATCAAACAACCAGATGAAGAATTTCGAAAAATGAGGAATGGAAGGGTGGAAAGGATGGAAACCACGTTCAAGAGACCAAAGACAGAAAGTGGACCACCACCTTTGATAAATGGACATGGATAAAGATCTGATGGAATGGAAAAGGAAAGATGCAACACATGGAGTCAGTCTCTGGGCTGGAGAAATGGACCTGTCAAAAGCCATGTGTAAAGACAGAGTGTGGTGCCAATCTTGATGAACAATATCCAATCAAGGTTGATGGAGTAGTGACCAAGACACAGGTAAGGATAGAGGAGGTTGTACAAATAAAGGTCAAAGCAGTGGAAATCATAGTTGCACCAGCCAATTCGGAGCCACCAGTAGGACTTGACATGGAGTGGTTTAGATTAGGGATAGAACTTTGCAAAGGAGTCGATTAGGATCGTATGCATAGATCTAATCAAAAACACCTTAGGTGTGAAAAAGGTGTGGCCAAAAAAGGACTGAGCATGCAACTTGTAGGAATGAAATCAAAATTTGTGGCCAAACTGATAGCTACACTTTTATCATTGATAAGAATTTTACATCAAATATTCATTCATTAGTTAACTAGGCCGCATATTTTGTTTTACTGTATTTGCTATAAAATTTCATTCCTTTAAATTGCACACCGAATGCTTTTTTGACCACACCTTTTTTTAAATCTAAGGTATTTTTGATACGACTTTTTGTCAATACACACCAATAAACCACACCAAATAAGAAAGTGAAACTCAATAGTAACCAACATTAGCCTAAGGATTGCAACCCTATTATTTGGAACAGACCTTTACTTTACAGAACTAATCAGATTCTTTAAAATATATGGTGGTAGTTTTCCTCTCCAAAACAGTGTTAATAGCTTCCTTTACATGAAATTCAGATCAACAGTTTTTGTCATCACCTCATGCAATTGGTGGAGCCAAATCAAGCACCATCATTTACACTAATTGCTTAAGCTTAAGCTAATACCACGTGAAAGACCTGTGGATTGAGGGATCATTTCATGAGGAGAACCTTGTTAGGATGAGATAATTGATTCACATGCAGATTCAGGGCACCAGGAACATGACGAGATAAAACCACAATGTGATGGCCAGAAAAGGAGATCCAGGATCTGAAAGCACAGAGACCTAGAATTGGTATACCCTTGCTTGGTGATATCAGCGACTACTGTGGAGTTTTTGGAGTGTACCATAACCACTCTCCTCTGCACGAAGGAAGGAAGTGGGACAAAGCTCAACAAACCACCATAAGCTAAAGAATGGTAATATGGAGAGAGGACTCCTTGATCAACCAGAGACTGGAAGTCCCCCAGGAGTCGAGATAAACACCCTAACCCTCTAAAGATGAGTCTGTGAACAGATATGAATCCAGACAAGGAAGGGGAAGTGGAACCCCACCATGGTCTGGTCTATGTCTAACCATCAAGCCAGGTTGGCTCTGATCAGGGAATAAAGGGTAAAAGGGTGGTCCAATGGATCCAAGTATAATTTACACTGATATAGTAGGGTCCACAGAAGGGAACACATAAGAGCATCTGAGCCACACCTACCACGGGCATAGCCACCATGTGTGAAGTGTACAAGTCAAAAACTTACTACGGAACCACTGAGAGAACAGGAAGCAATATGAAGAAAGGAAGAGAAGAACAAACCTCCACCATACTGAATAACATGGTGGCCCAGCAACTGGAGTGGGAAAAAGAGAACAAGCAAAATCACCCATGCCTCAGATATACAGCAAAACCAGAATATGCATCTACCGACGACCTGATTAACTAACTGTAAAAACAAAAATGGAAGGGGAAAACTCCTAAAGAGGTGTAGAGTGTGACAGACAAAAATAATTAGGTGTTGGAAAAATAGAGTCCACTTGGTCTTCTCCTTGATTGTATTCTTCCTCAGAAACATTGTCAAGTTGAAAAAAAGAAAAAATTGCTGGCCGAACATATTAATCTAGCTCTCTGCAAATTAAGGCCTGCACCTCCTCTGCAGATGAAGTCAAACCTGATTCCTGGGAATTCGTCCCAGTAACGTTTTTGAATGTAACGGGAATATCTGTAATCAATACATTGAATTACAAATTCATACTAAGATCCCTTATAATTTGGTAACAAGAAACAAATTTTTTAAAAATGTTGAAACAATTGAATGCAAACACAGTAAAATAAAATTGTTTAATAAAATATTGAAAAACCAAGGAAGCACAATTATAAACAAGAGCCACATGCGAGAAAACACACATCTAATCAATGCTGTGCCATCCAGAAAGTGAGAATTGAGCGGAAATAGCAGAGAGCTAGCTGTGCCAATATAGGTGGCACAATACTGTTGGTGGAGAGTAGTGACATTCTGTGTTCATTTTCAACAGTGGTGCAAAATTGGTGGGATGTATAGACTGGTGCACAGAGCATGAACATTTTTTCAGCGATGCTTAGAGTGCAGAAAGAAGATCGAGGTAGCTTTGTGTGACAGGAGGTAAGACCATATTGTAATGACTATTACGTACAAAAATCCAGTAAAGGCACGTATCTACCAAAAAAATATTCTGCCAATTCTAATCCACCTATTTCAGAATGGTACTGTCAATATAGGGCTGCAATAATTATGAGCTGTTGTTGCCGTACATCATGTCACATGGTTTCTCAAACGTTCATGTCATAAGGAAAATTACTTCAAGAGACAAGCATTCATTCCTGCAGATCTACACGAAGAAGCAGAAATTAAAGATGGCACCTCTAATGACTTTGACTGAGTACACTTATGAAACATTTGTAACACTGCTGAATTTGACAATTTTGAAGTCTTATATTTGCCAAGATCAATGCAGTTTTATGACAATGCATATTGTATTTATTTTCTGTTAAATGTATTGAACAAACTCAGATGAAAGTGTAGAAATCCAGTTGTAGGCATTTTACCAACATTATATACTTAGTTCTTTCTTTACATATTTTTATTCTATTTATATTGTAAGATATTTAAGTGACCCATAAAAGTTGGAATTATTTTAACTTATTGGATGCGAGTCAATCACTACAAAATTAATTGAATAAAATTATTTATTGAGATTTTATATTTTTCATTAAATGAGTACTTCACCAGATAAATATATACAAAATTACTTGAGTCTATATCTTAAAACATGAGACAATAAAAGAAAACTCTTTGATTTTAGTCAAAAAAGCCTTAAAACAATTTATAGTATCACACATCTATTTATATTAAAAATAAGATAACTATTACAATACTTTGCTATACATTCTAACACATGATTCAGACAAAACAAATACACCTTCATATATTCTTGTTTAATATAAAATAATATAAGATGTGCAAGTAAATATAAAAGCATTTAAAAAATATTTATGTATGCATATATACTTTATGGGTCCCCAATACAAGTACTTAAAAGATTATATATATTGTAAAACTTTGGTATTTGGAATGGTAAACAATGAACAAAGCTTGTGAGCCTTTTCCTTGTAAGCAACAATCTGTACATACTACAAATAAATGAGGTTTCATGTAGTTATCATTCAGGTAATAAATAAGTTTATCATAGCACAGATAAAAACAACTGTGGACTTTATAAATTTCAAAGTTCAAGCTACAAAACTGCGCTTTCCTGGAGGAATAAGATGTTTTGGGAGCTCTGTTGGAATGTCATGACCCTCAAGTTTAACGTTAATTAAGTGCAATGCTAAAGCAAACTCATCTGAATCCAACATCCCATCCTTATCCAGATCAGAAAGCTTCCAGATCTTCCCCAGCACAGAGTTGGGAAGCTTAGAATTTACCATATGTGCCTTAGCACTGGCTCCAGATATTTTTCCATCTACAGGGTTCAAACTTTCAAAAATTTCATCATACTTGAACCTCTCTTTAGAAACAACCCAATCTTGTTGCAGAGAACCAGCATCAGCCCCTTCACCACGGCCATAGCCAAAGGGGCTCTGCTCTGCCACTCCTTCAAAAGCTCCTCCAATAACATTACCATTGTTGGTGCTTTCAATCTGCTCATGAGGAATCATACTCATAAGCCGAGAAATATCTTCAGCTAACATCCTGTCAACTGTTTCTATAAGCTTTAGTTTCATATGGTGAAACTTTGTGAAATCATGGTCAATTAATTTTTCCTGCATTTCCTTCAGATTTGGGAAGTCACCTGGAGGAATCTGTTGGTCTCTTTGAATCTCTGCATACACATTGCCCAGGTTCTTAATAAGTTCTTTTTTCTTGCTGTCCTTCCCAAAAACAGATGGCATGTCTCTGCGAAGGATACTGATGATGTAAGCATGTACCTGCAGAGAAACCATCAGAAACAAAAATCAAATAAAACATTACATTATGTTCTGTTTCATAAAAGGGAAAAAGCTACTTTACATTTTATACTTATTTATATATTTGGTTTGTAGTTTCTGTTAGTATAGCTTCAGGTTTAAAAAAACACATCAAACTGTTAATGTAAGACTAAGATTTTTAGCATTTTAGGAAGATTAAGTTGATAATCTTTTAGAAAAATAATTTATGTACATTAATACTAGAATAAAAAATATTGTCTACATTACTACAAAATTGAAAAAAATCATCCCATTTTATTTTTATTTTACCTCTTCTTTTCTTACTTTTATGAGAAAAGCTATCTATAAAGAAAGTATTATCAATACAGTAATCATTATTCAAATTCAAAGCAGTAGAATTATTAAAATCTTGGTTTAATCCATAAGGATATAATGTTCTTAATTTCAAGATGTAGAAGTTCTCTCATTGAAGACTATTAGTTTCTTCATTAACTGCTTCTAATATATTTATCTTAACAAAAGTAAAAGGATGAATTCTAAAATGCTTTAATTCTATGGAATTCATTAAATTGTTTTTAATTTGAGATTATGCAAGTTTATACATACATGTAATAGATTTGAAGTTTGACCCACATATTCCATATTATATTCAGTACAAGATAAACTACATTATTTAGAGCAGTGTTTAGAGCAGAACATGCGAGACATCGTTTGCTATAATATCTTATAAGATTAGCAGCAATTTAATTACTATAATCAGCCCGCTAGGCTAAATTACCCATATATACAGGTATTGCTTGATTGGATCGATATTTTACTGAGAAATTTTAAAACTTCAAGTACCCGTTCTGAAGCTTGTTTGAAGCTCTAAATCACATTACAACAATACATACATTAATAATCTGGATCAAAAAATTTGTTCTAAAATACAGAGCACAGTGAGATTACTGTCACCAAAAATGTTATTTTCCAGCAGAATGAATGTAAGATGATAGTCCTACTTACCTTTTTTAGTTTTTTTGTTTACAACTTTTTGTTTCAAGTACACTAACACAACAAGACTGAGAAAACATATATAGACTACTCAAAATTTGTTAAGGATCACTTTTCAAAGGACCAGTGACCACTGATAGTTGTGCACTTTATTTCTATTACATGTTTTCAAACACAAACTGTACTCAGTTTTCCCAGTGTATTTTAACTCAATTGAACAGTAAAGAGGATATCAAAAATAGACCTTTTTTTTTAATTGGTAAGAAAAAACAAATAATGAAACAAGTCTTATCAAGTACGCATTCACCACTGCCTAACATATTCTCAACATAATTCTGATGAGTTCGTGACTGGTGATTTCATTCCTCTCATGGAGAATCATGGGCTAGAGAGAAGGCCAAAAAATTTGCTAAAGGGAAAACCAAATATGCTCAATTTGGTTCATATTTAGAGAATGAGCAGGCCACTTCATATGGTCATTAGTCATTTTCTGAAGGAATTTCTTCATGAGCTAAAAGCAATGTAGGACAATCATTGTTATTCACAAGGACAAAGTCATTAACAATGGAGCGAGTGTATAACTCTAGGTAAACAATCAAGGATCTCACACCTTTACTTCACAACTGTTAAAGAGCCATCCTGAAACACATGATTATTCTTGTAACTAAAGATGCTGCTGATCTAAAACATGCTAGACCCACCAAAATAACAGTTGTGTATAGTCACAATGAGTACTGAAAGTGCTTCAAAGATCACATTTCTTTGGCATGATGATTTGTGGAGTCAAGACATAACTTGTGCTCAACCCTGAAAAGCAGGAATGTCCAAGACAAGTGGTATTGAACCCAATCTTAACAGTATTGCTTGTGAAGCTGGATCCACAGGATCCTAATACAAGTTTTTGTGACCACAAACCAGCCACACTGAATCTATAATGGGCAGTTTGAGCTGATAAAATAGCTCCAAATTTGTTTTTAAGGTCACAATGGATCTTCTATGCTGTCTACAAAAGGGTCTCATCATGCCTCTAAGTTCAGGAATCAATCTTATCTTGAGTTTTTCATCTTTGTTAAGCCAATCCCATGCTGTCTCTTTATGTGTTCATGGATTCTGCATTGCTTTCAAGCAAAGGGATCACTGCCTCACATCTAATACAATAACAACAAAATGTTGAGACACTCCATTTTGTAGCATATGTAGACAAAATTACAAATTCTTCATACCTAAATGCTGAGCTCAAAATTTAGTCTACCATACAACACATGAATGTTGCAAATAGAATACTAACTGAAGCAAGTAAGGTGAGATAAAAAATTGCACAATATGCAAGTAAGTCCTAAGGCCAAGATGTTAACAAAAATTCACAAAAATGATCAATATGTAGCTGCCATGTTGTGAAATTGAATGCTATGCAAGGTGTAAGAAATGCCACTTTTGATGGGTTAGAGGTCACAAAAGCAGCCATTCATTTGCCACTATTTTCAAGTGGTTGAAGTCACTTAGACGCATGTAGCTATACATAAAGTAGGCACTAGCAAATAATATTATTATATCAGAAAAACTTTCACAGTGGACTTCCATGCATGAAATGGAAGAAAATGCAAAAAACACACAACCACATACATATATATCTAGAAATTTACCATACTACCAGTAGTTTTTAGAGCTGTGTCCAGGTACCCAGGAAGGGAGTGAAGAAGGCAACCAGGAAGTATGTACTTGGTTGAAAGTATGATGCGTAAGGGTAATTACAACGTTTCTCATTGACGGATTGTGTATACCATTACTTCTTAAACTTTTTTGGAAATTTTGTAATGAAAATGGGAAAATTGGTTATTTTCTTATTTTTTCAACATCTTACAAAAATGAAAATGGTAAACTACCTGTTTTCCTATTATCCTTTTCAACAAATTACAAATATGAAAACAGTACATATACTTCCATTTAACACTTTGTGTTTCATGATAGTTAAAATAGGTAAAATAGAGGTTTCAATAATGATAGACTCATTTCCAAATGGCAACTTGCTTCATTTATTTTTACAAACCACTCTTCATTTATATTACTAGTCAGAGAATATTGAATCCATTCAACTCCCAAAGCATCACTTTTCTTCACTAGAGAAAATGCATCTCATTTGAGAAACTAATGCCTTTGCCTTAACTTTACTAATTGTCTGTGTCCTCAAAAATAAGTGAGGACATTGCAGTTATTAAAGGACAAAACTTCCAATGAAAATTCTTTCACATAGACAACAAAGGAAAATAAGCAGACTTCAAATTCTCATATTATTTCTTTAAGTCACAAAACTTTAAAATCAAGTGATATGTACATTCCGTAGTTCAACAGCAATGGTTTTCAGATGTCACATCTTATTAATCTGATCTTTTTGAGCAGAGGTACCTAGGAAGAATAAACTACTTCTGGTATAAGACTTTACTAGTTTCCTAACAAGATTAATGGATTCTGAATGGAATGTGTGTATTATGGGACTTTCTTTTTGAAACAGCTTTCTCAATATTTTAAAGCTTGATAAGATGAACACAAGAAATATTGAGTTTTGTTTCAAATGTTTTTCAGGAAATCAGCAAGTCTTCTGCACTGGACATTTCTATGACCAACATAATTTTTTTAATCACTAAACAATGAAGCACCTTTTAACCCAATGTACTGTTCATGTAACCACTGACATCCTTAGATTAGAGACAGAAACCTACACTAAAATATTATCACAAATAGTCAGCATGAATGTGGAAAAGGAACATTGCAAGTAATGCATTGAATTTGGTCTTTCATAAAGCTTTTCACAGGGTGCCACATGACATCTTAGGAAGATTACATCTGCTGGGGCAAGAGATAAGCTAGTTAAATGGGTTACAAATTAATGGGTGGTAAAAGGTAGTTATAAATGGAACAAAATAATAGTGTATCTCAGTGTCCTCTGGCAGGCCCTTTGATATTTAACATTTTGCTTAATGGCATTGCTAAAGAACTAATCAGTCAATGGGATCAATTTTCAGACAATTAAAAATAATTTCAAATTGTACTAAAGATGTTGAGGTTTTGCAAAAAAATTGGGGCTATTTAGTGAGTTGGGCTAATAGCTACAATTTGCATTTAATCTTAATAAAAGTTAGGTTATTGATTATCACAATATTAATTACTCTTATAGCTTTTCTGGGGAAGTATTAGGTAAAATTGATGAGGAAAATAATCTAAGCATAGCTATTATAGTCTTTAAAGCCTCCTAGACAATATATAACAGTTAGTAATAAGGCAAACAATATTTTATAGTGTACAATTGGAAATACTGAGTATAAGAATAAGAAGGCCATCAGTAGGACCTCATTTGGAACAGTGTATTCAGTTTTGGTCAAGGTATTTAAGAAAAGTAGTTGAGTTGGTGAAGAAAGCTCAGAGAGGAGCTGTTTAAATGATTTCAGGTTTACATGGGTTATCACATAAGTTTAGATTGAAATCTCTTCATGTGTATTTGCTGGAGAGGAAAAGGGCTTGGGAGGGAGATGATCGAGGTTTTTTGATATTGCTAAAGACTAGGAATCTATAAACCCAACGCAGCATTTTCATTAAAAAGAGTAAAACACACTTTAGCAGTAAATCTAGAGGATAGAAGTTCAAAATATTGAAAACTGAAACATGACTCCAGTTAAGGTAGTGTTACTTTTATTATAGGGTGGTGGGTGGTCATCTTATGGAATAGTGTCTTCTGGAGTGGTATAATTGTGACAATGGAGAAGTTTACAAAAAGATTGAAAGTGTGTTTTAGAAATTAAGGTTGGATACAAGAAAAAAGGATTCTATGTAGTTTTGAGTACTGTGATGGTAAGAAATTGGATAGCCCAAAGCAGCCAAATAGGCCCACGTTACCCTACAGAAAAGGAATGATGCAAGTAAAAATGGGCACAGAGGTTCAGGATGGCTTGTACATTTCTGTAGCCTTTCCTACAAGAAAATGACTGAAATTGCTGACACGTGTTAAAATTTTTAACGTCTTAATATAAAATTGAAGATCCAGCTTGAAAATTGTTGAGAACTGTATAACGTGCATTTTCCAAGTGTATATGATCAGAGTGATCCCTGAAATTTGCAGAGTTGGTTCAATTTTACGTGCAGTGGTGTGTCAAGATGAGCTAACTTGGATTTATGGCTAAAATATTATTAATAACAAAGGTACTGAAATTGTAGACTAATGCATTCTAATCTTTATAAGTATAAATATAATAAAAGGTTGATTCTTAGTTTTGCTCCAAGTAGGTAACTTGCTCTGACTGGAAGGTAGTATTTATTATTAACTAATATCAGTATAACACAAAAATATGATACCCTATAACCCAAATGCTTTACAAAAGGTGAACCTTTTGAAAGCACTTGGTTTATAGGGTATCATATTTTTGTGTTCAATTGATTCTTGAACCTACGTGTTTTTCTAACATCATGAATAATATTAACAATTATAACTGATGAGGTGATAATGTTTTGTATACCTTTATTATTAATACTATTCTAAGTCCCAATCAAGCCCACAAAAACATAACTAACTATTGGCATCTATCATGCTCTACAAGTTCCATCCCACTTACCCCTGAACTAACTTTAACCATGCTGAAGTTGGCTAGTCTTTACTTTCAATTTCCAATCTACCCACCAATAATTGTATATTTACTAAAATTAAACTATGTCACAGCTTACAGATAAACCTAACACTAAAATTTTGTGTGTGATTAAGGAAATAGCAACATAATGGATTGTCCCACTATGGGTATCAAATCCCAATTTTTCAGTGTTATAAGCCTTCTGGCTTACCACTGAGTCGTTGGAGGCAACTAATACTAATAAAGGAAAATGACATAATGATTTATTGGAATTCAGAGGGCTACTAGGATTATTCCAAAGAATGAAGGGTTAACCTACAGGGATGGTTTCAGATCTCTTAACTTATTCTCTGTTGACAAAAGACAGGTAATATGTGATCTTATTGTAGTCTGCAAGATTATCTGAAAGACTTATAGGATCAATATCACTAATTTATTTATGCTAAATTATGAAAACAACAAGATGAGAGAACACAAGTTTAAGATTTGGAAAACACAAGCTATGCTACAACCTACATTTAAAACAATTTTCTTTTTCCAAAAGGTTAATTAATTAGCTTATGAAATAAGTTTCCATCTGCAGTAGTTAAGGTTGGCATTTTATGAGAGATTAAGAGGGAAATCAATGATTTCCTGAAAAATAAAGGGTAGGTTTCATATCTATTTTGCTTTTGGGATGAAAAGGGGGTGAAGATCAGGGACAGCACAGATGGACCAAATGTTTTTTTTTATTGTCAGTATATAATGAACATTTTTTTATTGCACACTACTAACAATGTGTCATTGTTACCCCCCCCCATCTTTACACAATTCCAAGAATTTTATACATTCTTATCAGCTTCTCAGCTACTGTGACAATAACTTGGTTTTTCACTTAGTTAAATTTACTGTTCACAAAGCACATTCACTTTTCATATTAAAATATGGATTTTGAATGACTAGAATGAAGGCAGCTAGTCAACAGCATCCATCATCAATTCTTGGGCTACTCTTTTCTGATCAAATAGTGGGATTTGACTGTCACTCTTATAGTACATTCACAGCTTCAAACTGCAGAGTGCATCTTTGCAGGAACTGTACCAAAACCATGAACCTTTGAATTAACAGTATGTGCATGCTAACCATTAGAATATACTGGTCCCACATGCTTTGGAAGCCTAGGCTTGCTCTCACTACAGTCTCAGACAAAATTACATTTGTCTTATTTTTGAATATTAAATTTGAAGTTATATTGAAAAATCTCTGTGCAAGTGACAATTATTGTCTTGTATAAACAGAAAAATATTTTTATTACATTATATTTACAAAAGAAGAGGACCTAAACATACCTTTGCAAGTCTAGCACGCTTGATTAAGTCATTTAACTTTCTAAGGGCAGCATTTCTCGGTAAACTTTGGATATCTTGGAAAAGATCTTGTTCCTCTACCTCAAATAATTTTCTGTTGATATCATATTTTAAAGGTTGATCCCAAAATGATCCAAGGTAAACCCTTGCCACTTCTGGAGTCTGAAGAACCTTTCCCAACGACCACATCAGAGCACCATAAACTCTCATGAGTTGCTGATGGTCTACCATGTCAGCTTTGTTTAAAACAATTCTAATTTTATCATCATGACCCCTTAAAGCCTCGATGCTTCGTCTAAATTCGTCAGAAATATCTAGTTTATGAGCATCAAAGAGTAGAATGATTCTGTCTACCCTTTCTGCAAACCATTCTAAAACACCAGTAAAGTCATAGCCTCTGTCAACACGTTGCTTCTCTCCAGACAATATACCTGGAGTGTCGATAATCGTAATACTTTTCAAGACATCTGACTTTACCATGGAACACTGAAATCGATTTAAAAAGGAATTTCCAAATTTTGAAAGTGGTCTAAATTGTTTCTTTGGATCCACTACTAATGCATTTCCAGGAACAATACCATCTTGTTCTCCGTACATAACTGCAATAAACCGATCAGTAGTAGGCTCTGGACCAATTCGAATACCTGGAAAATCCTTTTCTAACAAATATCTAATGAAAGTAGTTTTTCCAGTGGAATACTGACCAACTAGTAAAATCATTGGCTTAGCATCAAAGTCAGCATCATCAAGAGGTGGTGAATGAAAATCATGAAAACAATAGGCATCTTCCAGTGGGAGGACCTTCGCTTTATACACTTTCTTCAAACCTTCAACAACATTTTCGAAAATTTCTGGCTGTTTTTTGCTATCTTCGTTTCTATTTAACCATGAAAACATCTTAAAACTATGCTTTGTCTAGCCCTACAGTATAACTTTACGACTAAATACTGAAAAATCAGATTTGACAAGCCGAGAAAACAACCAACGTGTTTTATCTTACAAGTTACAACCCTGCTTAAAATAACTAATACGTAACCTTATTACCATACCTTGATGATGTGTATCTAAGTTTCAGAGCCCTCTAAGGAAATGTTATTAAATATGGACTGATTTTTCTTTTAATAAACAATTTAACATATCTCTGTAGTTATTCGCTTATAATAATTCTACGTAATTAACATGCATATATTAAGTTTTTGGGTAGATCTAAGTATTCGCATTTTAGACCTCATGTAAAATTATATATATATATTTATTCAATGTAGTCCAAAAACGCTCAGAGATAAGACGTGCCGACAAAAAAAAAATGTCGAAAATCTATATAGTAATTAATGGTGTATAATAAATAAGCAATCACATGAAGGAGGGTTTAAGCCCAAAACGTTGTGTCAAATTAACGTTTGCTAGATTTGAGTACTATCGTATATAGTGTTGTTGTTTTTTTCTTAAACTTTGTCTTAAATCTTCTGTGCGGTTTGTTTTATATATTTGTTTGTATCTGTATGACTTTTACATATTGTTTATCCATTTCATTCTCTGCCTTTTTTTTTTCACTTTCCACCTCAATCTTTCCAATAAGAATAGTATTTTGCAGGTTGAGATGCTTTGCAGCCTGTCCGATGTATTTTAACTGTCTACTGGCTATGATGTTCCTTAACATTCTTAACATTCTTCTGATAATCCATACTTCAATAATTTCCAATCTCATACACATCATCTTACTGGTGGTCCATGTTCCAACCCCATATAATAATGTTGTCATAAAACAATGAATAATTCTCAATCTAGTCTAATTGGTAATCTTTCTGTTAGTTAGAACAAGAGAGCCTAACTTTGTTGGAAAGTAGGAGGAGCAAAAAAAAAAAAAAACACACGTCAATCTAACATAATTGTTAATAATAGTGTATGTAAACTAAATGTAAAAAAAATACGTGCCACTTCTGCTCTATTTTTAGGCGCCTATGAGTTAGAACTTCTTTCATGAAGTTAAATCAATATTACAGTCTCTATTATTCTTTTGGTCTCACTCTCAAGTCTTCCATCTGTTACGTCTCCGTTTGTTAATTGATTTT